CTGAATGACTCCACTGCAGTCACAGTGCTGTCCATGATGGTGAGTGGGGGGAGTGCAGAGGGGTTTCTCCTGAAGTCCACTATCATCTCCACAGTTTTGAGTGTGTTGAGCGCCAGGTTGTTAAGACTGCACCAGACAGCCAGCTCTTTAACCTCCTGTCTGTAGGCAGACTCGTCTCTGTCCTGAATGAGGCCGATCAGTGTGGTGTCATCTGCAAACTTCAGGAGCTTGACCGAGGGGTCTTAAGAAGTGCAGTCATTGGTGTAGAGGGAGAAGAGCAGTGGGGAGAGGATGCAACCCTGGGGGGCGCCAGTGCTGATCGTATGGGTGCTGGATGAGAATTTTCCCAGCTTTACTAGCTGCTGTCACTCTGTCAAGAAGCTGTTGATCCACTGACAGACGGAGGTGGGCACGGAAAGCTGAGTTAATTTGAGCAGGAGGAGGTTTGGGATGATAGTGTTAAAAGCCGAGCTGAAGTCCACAAACAGGATCCTCACATAAGTTCCTGGTCTGTCTAGATGTTGCAGGATGTAGTGCAATCCCATGTTGACTGCATCGTCCACAGACCTGTTTGCTCTGTAGGAAAACTGCAGGAGGTCCAGTGATGTCCTTCAGGTAAGCCAGCACCAGTTTTTCAAATGACTTCATGACCACAGACGTTAGAGCTACAGGTCTGTAGTCATTAAGTCCAATAATTTTGGGTTTCTTTGGGACAGGGATGATGGTGGAGCATGAGGGGACTTCGCACAGCTCCAGTGATCTGTGTGAAGATGGGGGCCAGCTGGTCAGGACAGGATTTCAGACAGGCTGGTGTCACACCGTCTGGGCCTGGTGCCTTTGTTCTCTTGTTCTTTCTGAAAACCTGACACACATAATCTTCACTGATCTGGAGTGCTGGAGGGGGGGAGAGGGGGGTTGCCGGAGGTGTGAATGGTGTTTTTTCAAACCTGCAATAGAACTCATTCGGATTGTCTGCCAGTTGTTGATTCTCCACAGTGCTGGGGGATGGTGTCTTGTAGTTGATGTCTTTCAGAACTTTCCACACTGAAGCAGGGTCACTGGAAGATAATTGGTTCCTTAACTTTTCAGAATATTTCCTCTTTGCCACTCTGATCTGTGTATTTGGCCTGTTTAACCCTCTAGTCCATCTTTTTACAGTCCTTAATACAGGTTTAGCTGATTTCAGTTTCTGCCTGTAGGTCGGTATAAGATTAACCAAACTGTGATCAGAGAGCCCCAAAGCTGCTCGTGGAACAGAGTGATATGCATTCTTTATTGTGGTGTAACAGTGATCCAATATATTACTGTCTCTGGTGGGGCATGTAACATGCTGTCTGTATTTTGGCAGTTCACGGGAAAGAGTTGCTTTTATTAAAGTCCCCAAGAATGATTAAAACAGAGTCTGGGTGTTGTTGCTCTCTGTGATCAGATCAGCGAGTTTCTGTAAAGCCAGGCTCACGTACGCTTGCGAAGGAATGTACACACTGATGAGAATGAATAAGCAAAACTCCCGCGGTGAGTAGAACGGCTTACAGTTAATGAAAAGCGCTTCCAGATCGGGACAGCGCATATTCTTTAACGCTGTTACGTCTATACACCACCTTTCATTGATGTAAAAGCATGTCCCTCCGCCACGCTATTTCCCTGTTGATTCTGCGTCGCGGTCCACTCTGAACAGCTGAAAGCCCGGCAGATGGAGCATGCTGCCTGCAATGGCGTCATTCAGCGAGGCAGCCAGGTTTCCATGAAACACAGAGCAGCAGAGTTTGAAAAATCCTTCTTTGTCTGGGAGAGCAGAAGGAGTTCGTCCGTTTTGTTGGTTAGAGAGCGGAGATTTGCCAGATGGATGCTAGGCAACGCCGTTCGAAATCCGCTCTGTCTAAGGCTACGTCCACACGAAACCAGAGCTTTCCCTATCCAATCTTTTTTTTCTACTTGTCTCAAGAAATATCTGCGTCCACACGAAACCACAAAACCGACACAAAACGATGTAGTATACATGCCAGACCAGTATGTGGTGCTGTAATTCTGCCACAGAGATGCACTAAAAATAGAGAAGAAGACTTCAGACTATGCGCATAAACCTTGCGCGCGGTATATAAACGAACATGGAACAATACATTTATTGATCGGTGTTAATGTTAGTTAATAAAAAGACAGTTCAGTGATTGATCATGTTTTTGTTGCTGTTACGTGACGTAGCGGTGTCTGACTAGGGGCGAGACGTGGGCTGATGACGTCATCGTTTCAGAAAATATACGGATTCGCTGTCCACACGAAAACGCAAGGGCGGCGTTTTCAGATTTATCCACTCTGGGACCCGGTTTCAAAAAAT